ACCGTCATGATTAAAAGGTCCAAACAATAAATTCCATCTTAATTATAGGTTTATACAAAACGACGTATAATTATGTAAACCATTAATGCCAAGCGTTCAATTTTGGGGTTGTCTGCTTTGATCGATTTAAAAAGAAATATTTTTCTATTTAAGTACTTTTTTAACCTCATCAGGTAAGGCAATAAAGTCATTAAGACTCAAGGGATTACAAAGTGCGTTATAAAAGAGAAAATATCATTTTGGGGAGCGGGGACAATAAAAGAACGCAGCAAAAAATAACGCTTGAATTTGTATCGATAGCTCTACCTATATACTGCGCTGAACAAGGTAACAAAGTGGAAAACTCTTTTTTTTCATTTTTGTGTGCCGTTGCTCTTCAGGACGTATGCGTCCATTGTAGGGAAGGCGCCATCTCCCTTTGTTGGGAATAAGTCACGTTGGTCATATGACGGAAGCATCTTGACATGATACAGTGACCAAAGCAGCAGTCGCTATTCAGTTCGAGAACATAAACCAAAGGGTAAGGTTGCTTTCTTTTAGCCTGGGCCAAATAGCCCAGACTGAGGCTAAATCTGCCTCCCCAACAGATTACAAGCACATGGTGTCGTTTCTCTTTAGAACATAGATTAATACGGCCTGTTTAAATCTGGAGTTTTAAAAATCTCTTCAACTTATCAGGTGTACCTCCATATCATATGTACGATCTTTCATAATTCTCGAGCTGGGGCATGTGGATATATATATATATATATATATATATATATATATATATATATATTATAATGAAAGGAAAGAACACACTCAGATAAAGGAAAGTACATTTTCTATTAAATAGGTTAGGTGTATCAGAAATCTTACATAAAAGAAATCTTCATTTTACCATTAACCTTTTCTGAAAATCATCGACCTGCTATCTTTACATCTCAGTGTTTAACCGCAAATTAAAACAAAATTCAATATCTATACCTCAATAATATCCATTATGCATTCAGCTGTGAAACCGTTCTATGGTTATTCACATAGGTTCATTAGCGTACCTTATATCTGGCTATTTTAACAGATCTCTGTGTTGCTTTGTGGTCTTGATTTCTTGCAGTGTTGAGTCTTTGATGCTGGTCCTCAGAACTAGACGAATCTTCATAGATCATCGTTCGTCTCTATGATAGATTTTTAGAATATATCTGCTGCTCATGTAATTGACTATGAAGGGCGTGTTTTCTTGAACTCTTAGCCGCGTTCCTTTTCGTTATTTTAGTTATGCCGCTCACGGGTTTTTGATGCTCACTAGTGATCCTATGCAAAGTTTAACAGGAAAAATCAGTGCGATGACACAGACGTTTCCTGCGTATATCATGGACTAAACATGCCAGTAACGAGGGAGATTTATGTAAAATGGAAACAAAAACTTTATACACATAGAAGTGGACAATTTAAATTTCTAGGACATATATTCCGGAATGAGGGCTTGAAGAATGTGTCACTCAAAGCTCATATTGAATGCACTAGGGAAAGGGGTAAATAGGCAGTAATTTACCTAACGAGCTTGTGCATATGAATGACAGAACAGGGTCTTGAAAGGATATCGAAAAGACAAACCTTTCTAAATATACAAAGAAAAGGAATTTTTGAAGAGCCATGATAGCCTAGGTCCAGTGGGTACACGGTACATAAAAGACAAATACACTATTTACATTATTCGGACGATTGTGCTTATCTTTGTCGCCATACTTATTAAAATGTTTCGGCCTTTCAGGTGGTTGGAATGTCGAACTGAATTCTTCATTTCGCTAACTAGGGTAGTCTGTTCTAGTTCCACGTACCATGTTTAATGGATATCAGTTATCTTCTGTTAATTCCCCTCTCCAAGTTCTCCGCTGCCTTAAACGGTTATTGAACTCACACACTTTGGGTCCTGTCACTGGATCTAACCACTCTGCCATGTGTCCTTGAGGACATCTGTGTTTGAATTTCTGGGTATTATAAACCTAATGTCTTCAGCAACCGTTTTTACAAGAGCTTATATTGAAATTTTTTGCTATTATCATTGCAGGTTTTTACCAGAACTCAGATTACAATTTTTGTTATTAGCATCGCTTTTTCTCTGGTACTCCTTATTACTGGTTCCCATATTTAATTCATTTCTATGCTTGGTTAGCTCAAGAGAGCCGAAAGGTTGTAACAAATATGGCGACAAAGATGAGGACAATAGTCCGAATAATGTAAATAGTACACATAAAACTTTGTCTCAGAAATATAGGCAGATACCAAAAGATAATTCATTAAAGGCTGACACGAGACTAAATCAGTCGTATTTAATATTTTTAATTTATTTCAATACTTCGTCAGATACCTTCAGTCAACTTATGTGAGCGGCCCGTATTGACCCGTCTTCCGACAGCAGTACGTTAGATTCTCGCTGACGTTATCTGTGAGGCTGTTCTGTGGTGGCCGTTTGTAGATCTATGAGACAACCCTTTCGAATGCTTGAAAACACAGAGTGGTGCAGGACAGGTAAGTTTTCACTCTGTGGCAGGGAGATTACGTCAAGTTAACTCTCTTTTTTCTGAAGGTAGTGTAAAGTCCATTCTTGCATCATCTGGGGTAAGACTCACCGTAAAATCACAGCAGAATGGAACAAAATAATTTAACCTCACCCAAGATTAGATTAGTATAGCAGAAGGTCACAAATAATGGTTACTAAATAAGGATTGATCTCACTAACATTGATCTGCGGAACTCCTTTGCTAGCCTTTGCATCTGGAATATGCATCCATTGTTGTTTGATTGATTATTTATTTACTAAGATGAGATTAGTTTACGTACGTTGCTTCAAGTTCTCCACAGACAGGTTGAGCGCATGATTGATTAATTTGTTTGTTTAACGGCATATCAACTCATTATAAATCATTTAATACTGAAATGCAGTTTCCTTGGAAACTTTGAAGTAATAAATATATGATGTGTGTTATTCTGCTTTCACAATTGAATACATGGTACCTGGTTGGTGGGCCGATTTGATTAGCAGATATCAACACTTCTATGGGCTATTTCATGTCGCAAGGTAATTATTTTGAAAAAATTTCATAATTTCAAATAAATATATTTTGAACCCATTTTTATGTCTTCAAATACAGATATAATGTATTATTAGTAATCCAACAATACATATGTAATGTTGGTATTTCTTCTATATGAAAAATATTGCTGGTATGTTTAGTATAAATATGTATTTTTTATACTTTCATAGTGTTTTGTTTTTCTTTGGGTGTTCATTATCTGTTCATAGCTGGGGCTCTAACAAGTAGATTACTCCGGTTTGGGTGGTCGTAAGAACGAGTACACATAAGAGTTTGTTTCACGCTCCTCAAAACAAGCAAACTCTAGATCAGAGGCCTTGCTACCGGATATAGTTTATCGTCATATACAGGACTACTGATGGGTGAGTATTCCCTTAATGTGGCTCCTTGCCTCGAAATAAAAATGGGATTAAAACTTATTCCAGACATCAAGTGACAAATATTCGTACTATTGCTAAAAATGCTGGAAGAATGGTCGTTTCATTGTAACGCTCCAGAACGTACCTGAATCTTATTTAAATGTTGTATATTTACAAGAGTTAGATCAGACAAAGTATGGAGAATTGATGCTATATCTCGACTGGACCTACACATTCTTTACTTTCAAGCCTTGACAGAGTTTCCAAGCGGTACGCATCCTTAAGGGTGAAAAATTATTTTTTCAGACATAAAACATTTAACCTCTCGATAATATTTTGCTATGTTTATGACAAAATATGAGACGGGATATATTCTTTAGCGCTACAAGTTCAGAGTTTCACAGTTTGGAACGGCCATGCCTCGTACAAAGGATCAACTTCTCATTGCCTCTGTTAAAGAGGAAATTCATACACTTTCTTCCACAGACTCCTGAGTTGATGCATCCCGATTACTACAAAATTATTCTTATCTATGTCAAATGTTATCTGCTCTACTTATCTTTAAAATATACACTTCTTTACTCTTCTAATTACACCTTTATATAGGCGGGTGGCGGTGTGGTTAGAATGTTCGTTTTATGATGATGAGAAGTCGGTTTGAAACTCACCATGGCCGATTTGTCAGGAAGGTGAAGAGGTGACCGTAGCATAATAAAATAAAACCATACCACGTGCTGACACAAGCCTTATGTGACATTGGGTAGATGGAACTACCGTCAATTGTTGTGCTAGCACAAAATCACATGACCTTGTGAACGAGGGTTCGAGCGTGCGGAATTCTTCAGACTCATGATCGCGCCAGATAATCTCAAAGAAAACGTAACTAAGTTCCGCTCAGGATAGTTTCAGTATAAACCATAGGTGGACTCTGCGGGCGTTGAACAGGCACAAATATGGCTGAGCAGGATAAGAATGCAGGAGCCTGCAACAGGTAGAGTTTAACCGCCATATTAGAGGGGCATTATCGGATAAGAATGCAGAAGCCTGAAACATGGATAGGTTAACCACCATATTAGACGGGCATTGTCGGATACGAGTGCAGGAGCCTCAAACTGAGATAGGTTAACCGCTATATTAGACGGTATTTCTCAGATACAAACGCAGGAGCCTGAAACAGGGATACGTTGACCGCCATATTAGATAGGCATTCTCGGATACGAGTTGCTAGATATTTTCTTACACAGTTACATAAACTTCATTCATTCTGAGTGGCTCTCGGGCATATAAATGTGTGGAAAAGTATAAAAAAGACATTGAAAATAGTCAAACCAGTGTTAATGATAGAGATTAATTTTCGCAGCTTGGTAAAAAAAATCAATATGTTTCAAAAATTACCGATATCTGACGGTGGTTTGCCGTCAGACATTACAATGAAATAAAAGACAGTTGGTGTTTAAGGGGTGAGAAACAAACTCAAAAGATCATAAACATCATCAGCGGTTGTTATCTATTGTTTAGCAAATGCTATATAAAGATGCCTGTTGATCTTTGCCGAACCAAATAGACTTTTACGTCGACGAGAGTCGAACAAGTGAATCAAAAGCAGCTGCTGTCGGCGCGGAACAAAAGTTACCCGACTCACACCGATCTTTGCCTTGGCCGCTCCTTCATCCTTAGAGATGCCGCCGCCGCTGCTGCTGCCACCACCGCTGATATTCGATGTTCATTGCGGAAGTGGAACGGCAAACGGCAATCGACTTGAGTCAATCAGAAGGATTGAATCTTGTCTTTTGCCAGAATCAACAGAATAACTTTACAGAATAAGGATGACCTTTCATATTGCCAAAGTGCGTATGAGACTCTCAGCCCATACGACATTCTCCTCTCTGTCTTTTCCTAATTTCTCTCTCACCATATATATATATATATATATATATATATATATATATATATATATATATATATATATATATGAAGAATTTTTTATATTTATACGTTCTTTTATAGATACAATATTTAAGTAAATGCCCGTTTATAATAAACAGAGCATATACTTAAATATTTGTATCGATAAAAAGAATATATAAACATAAAAAATGTCTTAAGATAAAGACTTTGTCTATTTATATATATATATATATATATATATATATATATATATATATATATATATATATATATATATATATGCATGACTAGATTGACATATGGTTGCATTTTATTTATTTTTCTTTGTGTTCAAACGAGTATTTTTTTTTGGGACAAAGAGTGCAAAAAAACTGTCCAAATGTTTTACGCATTCTTTGTCTAGAAAAGGAAGCTCTCCTTCGAACACAAGAAAAATTAAATAAAAAGCTTAACCGTAGTACCTTGTCTGTCGTCTTTAATGAAACATGCATAAATGAAGGATTGCTGCCTAAATATACAATTATCAAATATATATATATATATATATATATATATATTGGGGAAAATATATGATAAAGTGGAAAAGCTATCTTGTGACACGTTTCGCCCTTCAGAACTTCATCAGAATGATATAATATTTACTCACTATCTTGTATTGTAAAGGTTCAGTGGTTAACTTACATTATTTAGTATCCTCTATAATCTCGACTGAACTATATTTATTACAATCAGGCGCCCCGTAACCGAGTAGAGTTAGTGGGGTAACAGATATGCTACTATCGCTCTAGCAGTGGAGTTTCTTCGGAAAGATAATCCGATGGAAGCCGACCCCCTCCAGGCTGATTTGAATTCAGTTGTCCCTCTCGAAGACAAGTCGTCAAGAAGGGTATAGGACCCTAATGTGTCCTGTTATTTTACCCATAACTCTCGAAAAAGACATAGTTTTTATACATTCTCCAAGTGTTATTATCATGCACGTGAATGCAATGAACGCGACTGGAATTCGAACTCCCCCTTTCCTCAATTTTAGCCGTTATCCAATAATCTATCGTGAATCCTTATTTATTTATGAGCGTCTATTAAAAATAAATATTCTGAAAAACTAATGACAGTTGAACGTCTCTTTGCAAAATCTCTCTGCAAAATCTCTCTGCAAATTCTCTCTGCAAATTCTCTCTGCAAAATCTCTCTGCAAATTCTCTCTGCAAAATCTCTCTGCAAAATCTCTCTGCAAATTCTCTCTGCAAAATCTCTCTGCAAATTCTCTCTGCAAAATCTCTCTGCAAAATCTCTCTGCAAATTCTCTCTGCAAAATCTCTCTGCAAAATTTTGGGAAGTATTCTGACCAAAATTGAACTAACCATTTTTTTTATTATTTTTTTTTTTGTATTTTTTACAGCATATCAACACCAATGCCTACAACTTATTAATGCCTACAACTTTTTTTTTTCCTGGTAATATTTTGTTTTGTCAAAGATCTATTTCTGGTTATATTTTTTCCACAAATATTTATAGATAGCAATATTATTTTAAAAATGTATTGCTGGCAAATTTTTTCTTAAAAATATATTACTGGTAATATTTTTTTTTTCTTGAAAAATGTATTTCTGGTAACAATTTCTTTCAAAGTATTTCTGGTATTAAAACCTATCTTTACATTTTCATAATGCCTTTTACCTCAGTTTATGGGTTAACTATTTGCTCATAGCTGGGACCCTAACAGGTGCTACCACCCCGGGTCAGGCTGGACCTGGGAACACCAGCAAATAAGAGGTGGTTTTATGCTGCTCAGAACCTCCTGAGCAGAGGCCTTGCTGTTGGATGTAGTTTATCGTCTTACTAAGGACGGCAAATTTGAACTAAATAAAAAAAAAAGTAAACACATTTTTCTCATGTTCAAGATAAAGGTATGTTGTTTTAACTTATGTTCGGAAAGGCACTGATATAAAATTAACAAACAGGAAATATTGATGGTTAGAAATGGGTATTATATTTTGGTTCAACTATTATAATAATATATTAGAACACAAAAAGTTTTTTTTTCTAAAATCGGACACTATTTTCCAAAGAACCTAATAGTTATACATTTCCCTCTATCTATCTAGCTATCTGTGTTAAAGCCGAGATAATCGCTAAGATTTAAATCTTATATATAAAGTACAGTGTGTATATGTGTTTGTGCCTGTGTGTGGGTCCAAGAAACCCCTCCACTCCCACTGGCCCGATTTGAATCATTCATAGCTCCTACAAAAGCCATAGAAAAGTTAGGCACAGAAAACAATTTTCGTTGAGCTCAGATATTGAATTGCCAGATTATGCGAGGTATATATACATTATATAAATAAATAATTATAATTATAAAATATATATTAATTCATTATACTAGTCATTATCGTTGCTTTCATAGTTCAAAGGAAGTAACTCTTATTTTCCTTTTGTTTCCAAAATTGCACCTCAAGTTTTATTATAAACTAGCTTATAAGCCGCCATATTAACTTTATTATGGAATATGATTAGCTGTTACGTTTGTCTAACTTTTCAAATGTTCAATGTATAACTAATTCTAATTTCTATTTTCCTATCTTAACACTATATTAATTTCATCGTATAAATTGTCCCCTTTTGTCCCCAATGAAATAAAAATAATTGTTTGTACGGAAAATAAGGACCTACGTACATCAAATCGTCTTTGAATTAAATGGTAGCAGAAGAATTATGGTTGATCTTTTAAAAGGTACGCTTAAACCTTTAATTCGATACTTAAATGCAGCAATCAATTTTGCCATCTTCTGTAGTTTATTGATGCCTGTCGCATCTACTCCTCCGTAGCTGTTGTGATGATGGCTAAATCAAGATTCCTCTACAGGAGCTAGCTTAAATGCCGCCAGATTGGGCGGCATTTAAGCTAGTTATTGATATATGACACTATTCCTATTTGCACTCATTTCACCCCGGTGCTCAATGTTATTAAATAAATTTTGTCCAACATGTTTTTTTTTGGTTTTTGTTTTTTTTTTTTTACGTTCTTCAATTTTTCTTCGTTGTCAACCTTCGTGAATATCCTGAAGAAAGTTCCTATGAAAACAAACGCTTGTCTTTTCTTGTTTTCTGGACGATCAACCTACGTGATGTAGATTCGTCACTTTTCTATTTTCATTTTATCTTTTCACTCTTCGTGATGCGGTATCTCGTCACAAGAGGAAATAGCCGTCGGCCATTTGATGTTTGAAAGCGGAAAAAATTGATAAAACGTTTGACTTGATTAAGAACGTGTAAAAGAATTAAATTGCTTCATTCTTTCCGGAGGGTTTCATTTCGCCGCTAAAATAAATAAACATTTTGTATGATTTTTGTTAAGCGATTTTCATTCTTATAAATTTGAATACTTTAATATATATATATATATATATATATATATATATATATATATATATATATATATATATATATATATATATATATATATATGAGTGTGTGTGTGTCTAAAGTGAGAGATACATATAAAGAGAGATACAGTGATATGTTTTATGGTGAGGCCAAAATTTTGAACACATTTAGCATAACTGAACGGTTTGGTTTGGTTTGGTTTGGTTTGTTTTACGGCATATCAACTACAATGGGTTATTTAATGCCGACAAAGTTTTTGTTGCTGGTAATATTTTTTTTGTCAAAAATCTATTTCTGTTAATAATTTTTTTTCCTTCAAAAATGTATTTCTAATAATAATTTTTTTTTAAAGTATTCCTGGTAATATCTTTTTTCCTCAAAAATGTATTGCTGGTAATATTTTTTTTCAAAAACGTATTGTTGGTAATTTTATTTTTCAAAAATGTATTGCTGGTAATAGTTTTTTCTTCAAAAATTTATTGCTGATAATATTTCTTTTACAAAGTATTCCTGGTCTTAAACCCCATTTTTACCCCAGTTTCGGGGTTAACCATTTGTCCATAGCTGGGACCCTAACAGGTTCTACCATCCCGGGTCAGGGTGGATCTGGGAACACTAGCAATCAAGAGGTGGTCCCACGCTTCTCAAAACCTCCTGAGCAGAGGCCTTGCTGCTGGACGTAGTTTAACGTCTTACCGAGGACGTGGATATAATTTATCGTCATACCAAGGACGGTAACTTAACGGAAATTTCGACATAAAATTTTTCCTGTATAAATTTCTTTTATGAATGTCTGATTTCACGCCTACTGAATGATTATCGGTTTCTCACGTTCTTTCAAACACATCTTACATTCCATTTACTGACCTATATTAGGAATGATATTTTATTTACCCTGTTGAAGCGTTGACGATCTTGGCTTTACTCAGTGTTTTGTCTTTTGCTGCTCTAAGTATATCTAATCATTTACCATCCTTTATCCTGCTTCTTTACGTAAGTAAACCGTTACTTAGTTTTCTCGCTGTTTCTTCCGTATAAGGATTTTCCAAGCGCAGCTCAGATGTGGCACAAAGCCAAAAGTAGAGGACACCCAGTGAGGATCGAAATCACTACTCAGTCGTAGTTATTCTAGCGAGACAAGCTCGCTAAACATTACACCGCCTCGAGGTGCCCGAATAGTTATTTTCCAAGCATAGCTTAGATGTGGCACAAGGCCGAAAGTATGGGGCATCTAATGAGGATCGAACTCACTTTTCAGTTGTAACTGATCTACAACATTTATTCATCTCAATCGCAGGAAATTAATTTAATTGGATGAGCATCAGGTCTCCAGGGACTTCAAATTCACCACTTAGCCTAGTTCATCACCATAACAGATGCTATATTCAGATGAAATCATGAAATTGCTTCGGGCGTTATTAAAAAAAAAAAAAAAAAAACACCAGACCGCTAAGGAATAGGCTAAGA